TCTTTCCCTCAAACTGCCATTGCCTTTAGGATTTTAGGCATACAGTTGGAATCAAAGAATACGACTCTCTTTGGAATGCGTGGGGGAAAAAATGCAAAAAAAACCCCATGTCTTTTTCTTTATAGCTATACTAATACAGATCTATGTCACTAATGCATTTTAACGGTGATCTAAGCCCAGATCTTAAATCTGCTAAAATAAGAGGAAGCCTTTTTTTTTTTTTTTTGTAGGTTTTTGGTTCAGAGCCAGCATTTATATATTCAGAAGAGTTTCAGGCAAACTTTATTTGCAACATCTTTGAAAGTCTCTGGTTTTCTCATGCTTTTCAGGAGAAATGACACATCCAGTGCCAGAATCTACATCATCCAACTGTCCAGATGGCAGCTTTTTTTTAATCATTAATGACACTTAGATTTACATTGTACTGGAGACTCTTGAAGAAGTTCATTTAATCATCTCTTTTACTTGTTATAGTGTGGTGTGGTCAGACTATTTTTCGGAATATTTCTGCTTACCTTTGAATATGGTAGCTGGGTTGTTTTTGATTTAGCTGTTGAGTTCATTATCAATATTAGCAGCATATTTAGCAGGAATTTTCAAAAGCAAAATACAATACCACCTTCTTTTTAACAAAATAAAGCATTTCAAACAAGATTACACCTAAGTCAACAGATGCTGATTTAAAATAAAGGGTTATTTGCCAAAGGACCCAGGTAGACATCACTGTCTTTTGAGTCAAACTCTGCATCAACACCCTATTGCTAACACATGAGTGGTCCTTTTCCAAACGTGCCATCCTACTAAACTATGCCCTGGCTATAATCTGCTGTAGTTTTCATGTGCGCACCTCATTCAGCAGCTCTTTATTTAAATATTTTTGTACAGTGCTACTGCATTGAATAGATTCCTCCTTGTTCCACTTCTGAGGGAAACTGCTAATCAGTAGCTGATTAATTGATATATAGTCACCCTACCTGGGTGTATTAAATATTTTCACACATGGCTGAGGAGTTGAGATAGCTCCAATGCACTAGTCCCCCCATCCCACAATCCTGTGCTGAGAAATTTATGCAGGCCTGAAGAAACAGTGCTGTCACCTAAATTTATGTGACAGTGTGGCATGTGGCTGCACCAACTATGTGTTAGATGCAAATGTCAGGTACTGTAGATAGTGAAGAGAACAACACAGATCGACAAGAGCCTTCTGAAAAAAGAACCTGGACAATTAAAGATGCTGCAAAATTCAAAGTGAATCCTGTGGAAGTAATTGAAGACAACTGTACATAGATGTGTAACCTCTGTAAGTTAATTTTTTTGACATCTTGTGTAATAGCAGCATAAACTTCACTTCTAAAAATATACTATGCCATTTACTTGAAAGTACAGGATATGATTCCACTATGAAATGCTGCACATAGTTCTACTAAAGAAACAAACCAAATGCCCCAGAATATCATCCTGAAGACTATGAAACAAGATAATGAAAAAGAAACATCTGAAATTTGCAATAATGTGGTGTTCAGTTATGACTGCTGGGAACCTACTGGTTTTATATGAATTTAAAAGTGTGTGTGTGTGTGGGGGGGTACATATGAATAGCAAAATCAAGCATAATATTTACTCGTAATTTGCATCTTCCTTACTAGCTCTGGTTTCGAAGGTCTTTTCTGAGTTTTCCAGCCCTGGAAAGCATCAGCGGATTTGCTTTCCCATGGTCTATGGAGGACACCAGCATTATACATCCCTCCAAACTCCACCCAGTACCGTTCAGATTAGGGCATTCAGAAAACAACGCACAGCTACAAAGCAATGAGAGGTACCACCACACTTAGCATAATGCAAGACTGAAAGGTTGTACATTCCCTTGGCTAAGCTTATTTACATCTCAGTCTATGGATTGATTTGCCCTGGAAAGAGAAGAAATTAATGTTTCAGAAGACTCTGCTTGTTTCATTCTCGCATGTCACCCAGCAGAAGGGTTGCAAATACAACTGACCAGAAAGAGCCCCTGAAGGTGTCTGGGTGAGTGCAATAAATGCAGTAATCATTTAAGCATTTCAGATCTGTAGGCTGATGAATAATTCCATCTGATAACAAAGAACACATCTTAGTCTTTCAATAGCTTAAGTGTCACATCTGTTTGCAAGGCTTTGTACCCATTAACCCATGTGTAATACACAACATACCATATGGTGTATGTAGTTCCCCGTTTACTCCTGGCAGCCTATTTTCCTGAAACCTATTCTCAATGACTCTCTGCCCTCTGTGTGCAGTGTTTGTAATTCATTACTTGGGTAATCCTGGAGATATAGAAATATTCTGGATGTGGAATTAACAAGTGACATATTAACATTTTATATTTTACTTTTAAATTGCCCTAAACATGATGAAGGTCTCCCTCTACATTTGTTATATTTAGTTTGTTTTGAGGTCTTAGGCCAGATGAAAACTAAATCACAGTGTCTTGAAACTCTTACTTTCAATATTGGAATTTTATTTGCTGTGATATATTTGTCTGATCCTAATTAATTGCTCCTTAATCCCCCATGGTACAGCATTCCCTAGTATCAGCAGTCAAAAGGCCCTATTCTATGAAATAATGCCAGATGCTTACTCTGTGTATTATACTGCCAACATATAGCAAATGCCACGGATACAAATACATATAGATAGAGATATATCAGCATGGGTATGCATCTGTATTCATGGACACGTGTTTATGTGAAGATAGGCACACATATATTCTTTGACCTTGTGATTAATTACGTGGAGCTTTGGTGATAAAACTTTTTTTTTTTTTTAATGAACTAGTAATAGGAGTGAGAGAGCAGAAACTTCTCTTTCTAGGAGGGTTATCATACTCCTTGCTTCACCCTGTTGCATCCATTTTTTGTTCTCTCTGTGGTGCTTGGAGGCTGACTAGGGAGCTATCTAGAGCACAAGAGAGATGAGCTCCAAGCTCCAGTGCTCTTAGCCTGGAGCTGTCATTTCCAAGGAATATCTGTGTCTCATAGCTGAAGTCAGTCCAGTTGCCCTGTTGACGGGATAGTGCATGTACAGTCTGGTCACACACAGGAGCTGCAAGAAGACAAAGCACAGTTTCTGGATATTTTTACTGGTAAATCTAATGAGCTCTTCAAGGAGTATCTGCAGTCTACATATTCTTCATGGGCTTTTGATTTGGGCATGTCTCAGTAACATTCCCTAAAAGTAGCACAAAGCACATCTGACACGCTGTCCCTTCTCTCACAAATTATCCAGGCTAAGCTT